TCAAATCCAGAGAAGCCTGCAGGAGACATGCTGCATTCCCAGATACCCGGATTACGTCCGGATTTAAACCCAGGCCCCGGGCCATTCTGCTCCCAGATGCGCAAATGTGGGCCTTGTCTCTCTGAAACACTAGTACCAGGCAGAAATGACTGGAACAACCCAAAGGGTCATCGCAGACCTCGAGCCAGCCAAACTCAAGAGGGGATGACTTCACAGATTCTGTAGGTGCCATGGAAACCAGCCGGTGTCCCAGGAACCCACTGGGATGTGCTTGGCACCTGCAAAATGGTCCAGGATCCCAGCAAAGCATGCTTCGTTTCATTTTGTTCTGGAATGGCGCTGAACTTAAAATCAAGGGTGTGAACTGAGGAGCTTTCTTTTTTATCCTTCCCATGTCTTTGTAATTGTTCTTGTAGTGGCTGACCTTCCACCATTAAGTATGCAGAAACTGGTTTGTTGAGCTTTCTATTTCTTAAACAAACAAACAAACCTTAAAGAGTAACCCTTCTGGAAAGGTGTAAGCCCATAAACCTTGGTTAGTTAGTCATTTCTGAGAGTTGTGTGATGGGATTTAAGTCCTCAAATAAATGGGTTACTGTTGATACTTAGTTTGGAGGAAAGAGAAGACATAAAAGTGCAGCAGGAAATGAGGTGAAGGATTGAAAGGTGGTGTGGTTCCCCGAGATTTTATCTATTTTTAAATAACAGCTTGACTGAGCTATAACTCACACACCATATATAGTTGACCCGTTCAAAGCATGCAGTTCACTGCAAGGAGGCATCCCCTCCCACCCGGGAGAACGGCCATTACGAAAGACAGGAGATGACAGGTGTTGGCGAGGACCCAAAGAAAAGGGACCCTCGTGCCCTGCTGGTGGTAACACAAACTGGTGCAGCCGCGGTGGACAACAGTGTGGGGGTCCCTCAAAAAGTTAAAAATGGAACTACTGTATCGTTCAGCAATCCTATTTCTGGGTACTTATCTGAAGAAAACACTAATTCGGCATGGTATCTGCACCCCCATGGTCACAGAAGCATTATTCATGATAGCCAACACGTGGAAATGACCTAAGTGTTCATCAATGGAAAAACAGAAAAAAAATTATGTATGTCTACATACATGATGGATATACAACAGACAATGGAATATTGCAGAGTTCCAGTTATAAATATATAGGTACAAAAATATGAAGATACAGACTTCCAATTATAAAATAAGTAAGTTAAGGGGATGTAATATACAGCATAGGCAACTATAATTAATAATACCGTAATGCATATTTAAAAGATGCTAAGAGTGTAGTGGTTATAAGTTCTTATCACTGGATCTAGAGTGTATTATGCGAAGTGAAATAACCCAGGCAGAGAAAGACAAATACCATTTCGCTCACATGTGGAATTTAAGAAATAAAACAAACAAAGGAAAAAGGAGACAAACCAAAAAACAGACTCCTACGTCTAGAGAACAAAGGAATGGTCACCAGAGGGGAAGCGGTTGGGGGTTGGGGGAGATGGGTGATGGGGATGGAGGAGCGCACCTGTTCTGATGAGCACTGGGTGATGTCTAGAATTGTTGAATCACTGTATTGTACACCTGAAACCAACACAATACTGTATGTTACCTATGCTGGAATTAAAAAAAAAAAGTTCTCATCACAAGACAAAATATTTGTAACTATTTATGGTGACATATGTTAAAGAGACTTACCATGGTGATCATATCACAAAGCATCAGGAAACTAATATAATGTCAAATATACCTCAATAAAAATTTAGAAATAAAGTGTATAATTCAAGAGTATTTAGTATATTCTGACTCATGTGACCAGTGCCACAATTTTAGAAGCACCATATGCCTTGCCAGTGACTTCCCACTTACTCCCAACCTCCCCTGAGCCCACTATTGATAACCACTAATCTACTTTTTATCACGATAGAGTCCAGAAATTTTGCAGAAACAGAATCACAAAATATGCGGCCTTTTATAACCAGCTTCTTTCATTCAGCATGTTTTGAAGGATCATTCCTGTTAGTTTATTGCTGTGTAATATTCTATTGTCTGGATGTACCACATTTTATTTGTCAGTTCATCACTTGATGGACATTCAGCGCCTTTGCACTTTTTGGTTATTATAAATAATGCTGCTGAACATTGGTGTACAAGATTCTGGGTGGGCACACAATTTCGTTTGTATTAGGTCTGTACTTATCAGTGGCATTTTGGGAAACTGCCAGGCTGATTCCAAATGAGACGCACCACTCAACCTTCCCAACAGCAGTGTATGAGGGTTGCCCTTTCTCCCCATCCTCACAGGCATGCTATCATGTCTTTTTGATTCTAGCCATTCTTGTGGGTGTAAAGTGTTATCTCAATGTGGCTTTTATTTGCGTTTCCCTGATGGCAATGATGTTGAGCATCTTTTCATGTGCTTATTGGTCTTTTGTGTATCTTTTTGGAGAAATTTCTATTTGTGCACCTTGGTCATTTTTATAGCTGGTTATTTGGTCTTTTTATTTTTGAGTTGTGTTTTTATGTGTTATGGATACAAGTGCAAAAATTTTCTTCCATTCTGCCGGTTCTTTTTATTTTATTGATAGTACCTTTTCAGGCACAAAATTTTTAAATTGTGGTGAAGTTCAATTTATCTCAATGTTCTTCTGTTGCTTCTGCTTTTGCTGTGATATCTACTTAGCCCAAAGTCGTGCTTCTTCTGAGGGTTTTGTAGCTCTAGTTCTTACATTAAGGGCTTTGATTCATTTTGAGTTAATTTTTGTGTATATGTGGTATATATACGAGGGATCCAAATTCATTCTTTTGTGTGTGGATTGTCCAGTTGTCTCAGAGCCATTTGCTGGAGCTTATTCTTCCCCCATTAAGTTGTCTTGGTGTCCTAGTTAAAAAGTCAGTTGACCAAAAATGTTAAGGTTTATTTCTGGACTCAATTCTACTTCATTGATCTTTAAGTCAGTCATTATGCCAGTACCACACTATCTTCATTATTTTTGCTTTGTAGTAAGTTTTGAAATTGGGAGATGTTCTTCTTCAAGATTGGTTTGGATTTTCTGGGTTCCTTGAATTTCCATATGAACTTTAGGCTCAGCTTACCAGTTTCTGGAAAAAAAAAAAAAAAAAAGCCAGCTGAGATCTTAATAGGGGTTGTGCTGAAACTATGGATCAATTTGGGAAGTACTGCCACCTTCATAATATTAAATCAGATCCATAAACATGGACTATCTATCCATTTATTTAGGTCTACTTCATTTCTTTCAACAGTGTTTTATAGTTTTCAGAGAATAAGTTTTGGACTACTTTTGCTAAATTTTTCCTGAGTATTTTATTCTTTCTAATGCTAGTGTAAATGGAATTATTTTTCCTAATTTTATTTTCAGACTTTTTATTGACAGTTTATGTAAATAAAATTGATTCTTATATATGGAATAGGTAACCTGCAACCTTGCTGAATGTTTTTATTCCAATAATGTCTCGTGGATTCTTTCAGATGTTGTGCATACAAGATTATATAATCTTCAAATAGAGATAGTTTTATTTTTTTCCTGTTCCATCTGCATGCATTATGTGCAATTTTCTTATGAAACTGCCCTGGATAGAGTCCCCAGTACAGCACTGGACAGAAGTAGTGAGATTAGCGATGAGTGTCATGTCCTGGATTTAGGGGAAAGCATTTGGTGCTTCGTTGTTAAATGTGATGTTATATGAGGTTTCCATAGATGCCCTTTATCAGGTGAAGACTTCCCTTCAATGCTTTGTTTTTGAATGTTTTTATCATCAAGAGTTGTTGGATTGTATCAACTGATTTTTCTGCCTCTATTGAGTCATGTGGGTTTTGTCTTTATTCTATTAATTGACAACATTAATTGACTTTCAGGTGTCAAAGCAACCTCACATTTTTAGGTGAAATCCCATTGATCAGCATGTGTGGTCTTTCTAGAGTTGCTGGATAGAGTTTGCCAGTGTTTTGTTGAGGAATTTTGCATCTACATTCATAAGAGATATGAGGCTATATTTCTTTCATTGTACCGTCTTTATCTGATTTTGGTATCGAGGTAATACCAGCCTCAGTGAATGAGTCTGAAAGTGTGCTATATTCTATTTTTTGGAAGAGTTTGTAAAGAATTGATGTTAATTATTCTTTTAATGTTTAAGCAAAAAAAAAAAAAGTTGGTCTTTTATCAGCTGAATATTTTAATTCAAAGCTGGCTTTTAAACAATACTCTTAAGTCAAAACACTACCAAAGACCACCAGTGGGTTTAATGAAAAAGGAACCTTTCTCTTGAATCAAATTGCGCCTTGATAATAGAAATGTAAACAGAACCTTGATAAGCAAATGTGATAATGGTTGCTAGTCATCCAAATTGCAGATGTGAAGGAATATTTTCGTAGGACTCAGGGTTTGTAGTGGTACATTGAAACGTAACCCCAGCACAGGTGGTCTGATGAATAGAAACGCAGTAGAAAGGTAGATATTAAGCGCCCTCCTTCCCAAGCAACCAAGAGAGGCCCAGGAGAGCAGTCAGGGGAGGGGGCCAAACTTGCACCTATTTCTCAGGACAAAATAGTGCATACAGCCCTGGACCTCGTGGCCGGCCCCATCCCATACCAGTAGCCTGCGGGGCAGGCTCCTTGGCCTCTCCCCTCCTAGCTGGATGCCCCACGGCTGCAAATATCCATAATTATGGAAAATACCCTCGTTTTCTGCTCTGTAGTTGAAATAAGGACAGTCTCTCTTTTTATTACTATTCTAATGGCTTCATGTTCTGAATCACTGTGATATTATTAGTAACGGCAAAGGGGTCTTATTGAGCATAGGCAGAATTTCTCCCATACATCACTTTAAGAGCGAGCGAGCAAGCTGACAGGTTAACGAAGCTGCCCAGACACGTGGCTAAACCATCACAGGATGCAGCAATAAAGGGAGCGTGTGGGGATGAGACAGGAGCGCTTTGCTCGGTCACTCGTTCCGGGTGATATTTACCTGAAACGTGAGCTCTGTACCTCAGAACAGACAGCGCACTTCTTAACTGCATGGCTTTTATCCCAACAGCACTCCTTAAATATGCAGCATTTTACTTTTAGTACCTGGGGCTTTCAAAAATGTTGACAACCTTATCTCCAAAATGGGATAAAGAGAATCACCTTGAAATATAAAGGACACAGAACACAGCAAAGAGACAACACAGGTCCTGTATTAGTGTAAGCCATGGAGGCAAAACTCTGTCTTACACGGGGTCTGAGCCGTGGCCTGACACCACCCTCCCGGTACGAGGTGTGTAAAAGCGCTTGGGGATGAAGTTCTATTTTTCCTGAGGGTGTCCGGTGTGTCTCCTACACCAGCGGCTACAACTTGAGAGCCAGTTACTTTCAACCCAGTGTTCCACGCATTCATGTGAGTGCATACCCTCGTAAGTGAAGGGTGTGATGGCTTCACCCTGATTCCACCAGGTGACTGAGACGTGGGCAGACGGCTGCTGGCATGAAGGACCGCTGGGCAGGAGCACACAGGCGCCCCGGCCCCAGGGACAGCATCAGTGGATAAGAGACACGTGGGGCCAGGCCCCCCCCCTGCTCACTCCCGCCTGAGGCCAGGGCCCCAGGGCCCATTCATTTCCACCGTGGTAGCAGAACTGGCCTAGATGGCGCGTCCTGAAGTGTGACCTAGGCTCTTCTGGAAAGGCAGCAGTTTATGCTGATCTGGGGTGCCTTCATCAGGAGAGCACCCCCGCTCTCCCTGCCCCTTCTGGCCTCCTTCTTGTCTTCTCCCTGGTTTGGGGGCCTTTATCCTCTCCTGTCAGCATTGGTCCCATCAGCATCTCAGATTCACCCCCCCTGGGGTGTTCTCCCAGATTCCACTCTCACTAAGCCCTTACGGCTGCTCACAGCATTAAACAGCGGAACGGGCGAACATTGTATTGTCTGCGTTCACCTGTGACGGGATCCTGGTCAGTGCTCATCATTCACGTCTGGCAGCAGCTGCGACACACTTGATACCAGGACACAAGGCACGACACTGACAGACGGGGCCCAACCTAGGGAGCCAGCCGGTCAGTCAGCGGGAACATGAAGGAAAAGCTTGGGATGCATTTTGGCGATTCCAGAAATACGCGTCCTCAGGGAGGGAAATGTGACACATGTGACTTATTCGGAGCTTGTAAACTCCTGTTCGGACTATCGTCGCCCCGCACTTGTCAAGCTCAGATGTCAGCGCCGCAAACCGGGGAGGCAGTGCAGACAGGAAGTGGGACCTCGATCCTTAAAGTATTTAAAGGCAACGACTAAAATTCCCCGCTCTTTCTTCTTCTGCCTTCTTCCCTCGACTTGCCCTATGGTGTGACTATTCTAGAAAAGAAAAAGTAACAGGACTCGGCATGGTCCCAAAGTCAGCGATGGGCTGGTGAGGTCCTGCTTGGGAAGCCGCCACTGTCTTTACAGTCACACAAAACCGTGGGATAATTGAGAAGCTCTGGCTTTAGTTCATCTTCCGAAGGTTCTGGAAGTCAGGTTTCTGGAGCGGTAGAGGAGAAGATACAAAGGATGCTAACACAACTGAATCTGACAAGAAGAGGGAAGAAAGGGGCAGGGGAAAGCTTTGCAGAGCCCGATGTGACTTCTCAAAGAAAGGAAGGCTAAGGCCTCTGGGTCTCAGTCCATTCCAGCTGCACTAACAAAGGTGCCTTACACTGTGTGGCTCGTAAGTGGCAGAAACCGGCTTCCCGTGCTTCTGGAGCCTGGGAAGTCCAGGACCACGGTTGCTATCTGCTGAGAGCTCTTCTCCTGCTTCACAGACGGCACCTTCTCTGTGTCCTCAGAGGGCGGGGCGTGGAGAGGGGCGAGGGAACTCCCTGGGGTCTCATTTATAAGAGTACAGATCCCATCACCGGGGCTGCCCCTCCTGACCTACTCACCTCCCAAAGGCTCCACCTCCTGACACTATCACCCTAGGGGCTGGGATTTCACACGTGCATGCTGGGAAGGACACAGACATTCAGACTAGAGAACACTGGTAAAGCCCCTTTCTCCGGACATCCCTTCTGGGGAAGAACCTTCACCAAAGGCACACAAGCTCCTGGTGTCTTGCTGCTGGGCTCCCCTTTCTTCTTGGGGACTTTGGGTAAAATGCAGCGCTTCTGAGCAGAGAGACAGGTTAGGATGCCCCTTCCTCGGCACCGTCTTTACTGGGATTAGAGGGGAAAGTCTGTCCGTGCTCTGGGTGCTGGAGGGACCGGGGCCACGGGACCAGCACCTCAGGAAGCTTGCACTGAGTCCCTCTTGAACTGCCTCCCTGGCCAGGAGGACCCACGAATGCTCACGTTCTCAACACTCCGTATTTGCGGTCCTGAAGAATCTGAGAAAGCCGGGACAGAGACAGGAACTCTAACGCGGAGGTGAAGAAAGGAAATCCCTCACCCCCTCCTGCTTCTCACAATATCTGTGCGCTAGGGTCTATGCCTGAGACACTGAGAAGGAGTGGGTTCTCCTGTTGTCAGTGGGCGGCTTCCTTTTCCGCACGAGATTCCACGTAGGAACAAGAATCATTTAAGTAGGGACCCTTCTCCATCCCACAGGCCTCCTCCTTTAGCTGTGTCCCCTGGTCCACGGGGAGGGGCGGCACCAACCTGCTGTCGCCTGTGTGTCTGCAGAAGGGGCTTAGATGCTCAGCTCAGTTTCTTCATCTGTAATAAGGAAAATAACTTGTAATTTGTAATCCACGGTGGAACGGATGGATCATTTAGAAATTCTGCCATGTTATTTTAAGGCTTAAATAAGCATGTCCATCAAGGTGCTGCCCCTTTGGTAAATATTGCTACACTGTTTTACTTCCCTGGCTTTTTCTCCTGACCTGCGGATGTGCCCAGAGGCTCTGAGCTCCCCTCCTCTGCATTAAGAGAAACATCTGGAGATGCTTTATGAAGACACAAGGTCAATGTCTATCTCCAAAAAGGGGCCAAATTCCAACCCATAGAAGTATTATTTCCTTCAATCAAATCAGTCTTTAGAAGGTAATCATTCATGGGATTTCTCAGCCTCTATAGTTATGTGAGTCAATTTCTTAGTTTAAATATACACATATAGACATAATAATATATAGTGTATGGTATGTAGTTATATATAAGATGTATTATGTATATGTAAAATAATACATTGTATATATAGTGTATCTATATCTGTATATCCTGTTAGTTCTGTTTCTCAGGAGAACCCTGACTAATACACTCGCCCAAAATAGATCCCATAATATGACTTCAGTGTCTTTTGAAGAGACATTGGAAATCTTTTAATACCTACGTAAAATTATACTGCTTAGAATAGGAGGAGAGGAATCTGGCTCTTGGAGTCGTAGTTCAGAGCATAAGTTCAGGGAGCAGACTGCCTGGACTCAAATCCGGGCCCCATCAAGTGCAAACAAGTTGGCATCGGGATGGTTATTTAACCTCTCTGTGGCCCAACACCCTCCTCATTTAAACAGCCATAATTATTATTGTAAACTTTATGTAAGTGTTTGCTAATATTATGACTATTATTACTATTAGAATTACTACAGACATATGTTAGAAGGAGTCTTAAAATCAGTAACGAAACTAGGATACTGAGTCAAGAGCGTGTTGGGATGGAGCACCTCCCTCCTGGGAACGAGGAACGTCCTGTGTGCTCCTTCCCTGACACACGCCCGCCCACCCACGTGGGTGTTCTCATAGCTGCCTCAAGGGACTCCTCCTTGACCCCACCTTATGGCCTTTGTCCTTCCCAAGGAAGACATTGTGCAGAATGTGTTAAATTTCTTGTACAAAATTGTTTATTTGCCTTTCCTTTGTTTGTAACTTATCTGTAAAAGGCTCCCCCCTGCTGTCAAAAAATATACATGTATAGTAATTAGGACTTCATTCCTCCATGTTTTCTTCCCTTATCTTACTGTCATTGTCCTGAAACCTTATTTTAGAAAATTGATCAAGTAACATGTTGCATGTGGCTTACTCTGGATATATCTAAGCCCTTCTGCACATCTAAACTTAGATGGAGTTGGTCAAATGAGGGAACATCTGGGCTATGCCTTTTTTTTAAGTAGTTTTCTTTAGGAGCTGTCAGCATGTTGTTGTTGAAGTGTGGGGTTGTAACTCTGCGTGGACTATGGACAGTCAACAATATGTACTTAAAAGTTGCACTATTGCAAAACGGGTGTATTATCCAGGTACTCGTACACTGTTTTCTTGTACTGCTGGTCCTATACCAGCAACATTTTCTTTTATTGTCACTTGCTTTTGAAACGTGGTTTAGCCACTTAAAGAAAATCTGCTTGTGGCACAATTTGCCTCCAATCCATTCCAAGTTGTATATTTGTTTTCCAATAAAAAAATTACAATTAAAAAAAAATTCTTCTCTCCCTTGTCCTTCTACTTGTTCTCCTCCTCCTCCTTTTAAATCTGGGAGCTTACAACTGACACGAGATGGGTCCCCCTTCTTTGGCTGAATTTAGAAGGGGTAATCGGGAGGCTTTCGGAATGACGTCACCCGGCCATGTGAAAAGCTGTGTTAAAGAGGCCATGATGTCAGGGAGAAGCAGAAGGGCCTCCTGGAGCGCTCAGAGCTCCTGAGACGCATCTCACTGCTGTCGTCTGCTCTCTGGGCATCCACATACCCCGAAAGTCACCCAGGGAGGAAACTCCCCGTTTAAGGTGTTTGTAACTTCTCTCTCTGAGTCTCATTCTTTAAGTTTTGGAGGGAAGTTTTGGATGATTCCTTAGCACATAAAACATAAAAAGTGACTGGCCTAGACATGAAGTAGACTTTCCTCTCATAGTTCCTTCCAAAATGGGAAACCAGTTTTGTGCATAGTCCTGGTTCTAGGAGGAGCCTAGTAGCTAGCTTGGGCTTTGGACCCAACCCAAAGGCAGTGAAGATGCCAGTCAACCTACTACCGAGGCCTAAGGCCTGGTTTTAAAATTTAGTGCGAAGAAATTCTTGTCTCATAAATTTGAGTTAATTTCTTTTGTGCTTGTGGCTTAATTAATAAGAGGGCCAGAAGCTGAACAGGTGGCAAGAGGTAAATGAAGAAGTCTTCAGGGAACAAAATGGGTTTCATGGGGAGAGCCCCAGTTGTCAGCCTGGAGTGTGCCATCTCGAGCCTCTAGGGGATAATGTACTTCCCTGCCTTCTCCCACCCCTGGAGCTGCTTTCCTTGCATTGCCTGGTTCCTGGCCCTCCTTTATCTTCATCTTTGGGGCCAATTTAACTCTTTTTCCCTCTACTTCCATTACCGGACCTTCCTCTCTTCTGTCCATAGTTAATGCTCCCTTCAGCCCTCTCCTATATCAGCAGGGAAGGAAAAATTCTTCCTCTACCCTTCCAGGTCTTCCAGCTGGATGAAGAATTACATTTATATGAGATAGGTTCGGAGGAGAAAAAAACCCAAAGTTTTATTACATGCCTACAGAGGCCCAGTAATGAAATTAAGGCCTAAAGAAATGTCCAAGGCCGGCAGTTTTTATACTTTTTAGACAAACAGACAACAACTTGGTGAGGAATTAACAGGATAAAGAAAACAGGTGTTTGGGAGCTTTAATTAATAAGGAATTCAAAGCAGAATTTGGGAAGAGGTAGCCGATTAGAACAAAAGTAACAAGGTTTGTTTCTACAGCATTCTTGGCTTAGAATTTCCTATCTCTGGTAATAAGGATGTCTTTTTTACTTCTTCCTACAGGGAAGGTACCTTTCACATGGAAGATTTACTTCCTGCTTTCAGGGGGACAGAGGAGGATCTGAGTGTCCTGTATGTACCGGCTGTTCCTTAAATAACTTGTATTTAAAATAACCAGTAAGCTGAAGTGTCACATTTTGGGGTGGCCTGCCATGGGCCCCTACATATGCCTATGATTACATTTAGGGCACAGCAGAATAATGCAGAATGGTTTTCCCATCTATATCCCTAACTGAAGTACATCTACAAAGAAACTTTTTCCATGTAAGGTCACCTTCACAGGTTGGAGGTATTAGACCTGGGTGTCTTTAGGGGACATGTTCCTCCCTACCACACTGGGGTTTGGATTCTGATTCCCGTGTGGCCTGCACTCCAGTCCCTGTTGTGAGATCCCTGGGGCACCCCTCAATCCCTGGACATGATCCAGGCACTGGAATGGCCTGCAGTAGATCTTGGTTTATTTTTCTGCTTTATTTATGCTCCTGTGGCTGCAAGAAAAACAAATATAAGACTTAAAAACATGATAAATATAATCATATCCTTGGACAGTTGACATATCTCTGTTAGGAAACTTTAGGCCTATAAAAATTTTATGGATTTGCAGGCTATAAAATAAATATACCTAGAATCAATTATGTTCTTCCCATACCATCAGTAACCTGGAATGAATCATTTATAGGGAACTTCTATTTACAATAGAAAGGAAAATATAAAATACTTAGAAACAAATTTAAGAAAGGATGCATGACCTTTATACAACAAGTGACCAAAGTTTATTGGGGAATATATAAGCCTTGAATACAATGATGCACATCCCACTTTCTAGGTGGGAAAGATAAATATGATAGTGTCAGTTTTTAGCAGATTAAAAGATGGATTCCACTTCGTTTGGTTATGATTTGTCATGGAACATTAGGGAGGGGTTTCCAGGTTCATCAAGAAGACACAATCGCTGAGTATTTAGACAGAAAGAAGACTAGGAAGGAAAGAAACGTAAGCTGGGTGGCTGAGAATGAAGCTGTAGAGCCACAGGGACCAGGGCTGAAAGCAAGTGCATCATGTCGGACCTGTGTCTTGAGGAAGCCATGCCGCCCTGGAGAAGTGAGTTTCCTTGTTTGTGAAACGGAGGCATGTCAACATCCGTAAGTGAATTCTGAGAGGCAGTCTCAGAACCTTTAAGTAGAACTGATACAATGTGTTCTGGAAATGCGTTTCTGATGACGCAGGCCATATTCCCTGTGATGCTGGAGATGGTGTTCAGTGTGAAGACTTTACATAAAATTGTTCTGGGACGATAGAGAAAGGGAAAAATGATTTAAATGAGTGTATTGGTTTATTTCATATACAATTAGACATGTATGCAAAGTATATTAAATAAGTAAAAATCCATTTCAACCATGTCATGGAAAAATTAACACATTCGATTTGGATAGCAGTAATTTTAAAATATTCTCCTTGGAAAACTGGAAGATGGGCAGGATTTCGGCTTTCTTATTGTGCCAGCACTTCCTGTAAGTTGTCTTGCGTCAGGGAGTGGGGCAGCTGGGTTGTGAGGGAAGCAGGTGGAGCCTCCGCACTGACCTTTGCAAGAACTCAGACCGCGGACCAAGCTAAGAAGAGGATGGCAGGGCACACCTTCTTCGTCAGAATTTGAAGAGCAATGACTAAGCAGACAGACAATAAGCAAATGTAGCAGCAAGAGGCACAGGATGACTAAGAGCTGTCACAGGAATAAATGATCAGGTCTGCCAGAAAAGGTCTCACCTGGCAAACTTCCCCAAAATAGAAAGCAAATTGCCTGGATGCCCTTGAATCCTCTCCCTCGTCCCTGAGCTCCTGAAGAGCAGTGCCGGCTCATACAGGCGGCGGCACCTGTCTGGACACCTGGTCCCATCCTGACTTACCCCGGCAGGACCCTGGTCAGGCAGCCCCCTCACTCCAAAACACTCTCTGCAGAGTGCCTCCCCCTGGAGGGATCAGCAGGAGCCAGGCCCCACCTGAAATCCCCGCTGGTCCCCCTCTCCCTGAGGAGCACTTTCTGAAGAAACCCAGCACAGGAATTCTTATCTCTGGGAACCCAGCCTAAAGCATAACTCAATTTTTCTAAAAAAATGGAAACAGCAAAAAATGACAAATGGAAGTCAGGTGACACACTGAGAGACATTTGCAATGGGTGTATGGTACAAAGGGTAACAAAAAGGGATTACTCCAAACACATAAGAAAAAGAGAAGGAACACAGCAGGATAAAAGAAGAGAGAATATGAACTGACAACTCAGAGAAAGGGACGTGCAAATGACCAAAAAACATCTGGCCATGTGCTTCTCGCTGGGGAAAAGTGAACAAAACAAGACTGATTTGTGTCCATCAGATCGGAAAATCTAGAAAATTTAATAATAACGAGGGTCCGTGGATGTGAAGGGAAATCACGGATCTCAAACGCTTGTCTTTATAGCCACTTTGATGGGCAATTGGAAGTATGTCCTAAAACGTAAAATCCCTCTGACCTGTGGCCCCGGAGTTTAACGTCTTCATTTATTTATTCATTCATTCAAAAAGTATTTGTGAAGTGCCAGGCATGTCCCCAGAACCGTCCTGGGCCCTGGGATGTTGCCTCCAGGAACCTGGGCTAACACCGCCTGCTTTTTTGCCTCCTGCACCAGGGGGAAATGTGCCCCATAAATGCCGGAGCTCCTCGGCCTCAGTGAGCGGAGCAGAAGATCCCGGGTCCCTTGCGCAGTGTGGGTTTGAGCTGCATGAGGAAGCAAGCAAGGGCCGGATGCTCTGGTGAAACAAAGACAATTGGGTGATTTGGATCTTAATTATCTTTATCTCCGAGCCGGGAGCACTACAGCCGAGCTGAGCTGACCTTGATAAGAGCAGCCTTCACTCAGGGCAGGTAGAAAGGTCAAACAGAATGACGGGAAACTTTGATCCTTCTCGGGGCCGCAGGGTGACTTACCAGTCTCCTTCCAACAGGGTTATGGCGTAGCCGTGCTGAGCATTATTCACGGCCCAGCCAGAAACATCCCCGTCTGGCCGCCAGCAGCACCATCTTTTATATTCTCCACGCAAACCACCCGACCCTCTGCCGGTGTGGGGTTTTGCGTTCTCCTGGGAAGGATAGGCTGTAATTCAGGCGAAAAAGAAAGGGGGATAAGAGGTTAGGGAGAGGTAGGTATCAAGACAGGGTTGCTTTGAGACAGGGTTTTTATTCCTGAAAGATTAGGAATGTCCCCAATCCCCATCAATAGACAAATGGCCAAAGAAACTATGACACCGATGGTAGCTCACAAATAACACCATATATTTCTATACATATATGTGTCCATGAATACACAGAAAAAAGACATGGAAGCGTATCAACCAAATAATAGTGATAATATTGGGAGAGAGAGAAAAGGACGAGGCACTTTAAAGGGGACTGTAGTGCCAGCTATAACATTGTAATCATTATGCAAGAAAAGAAAATGTATCCGTGGGCTGCTTTTGTTACTCTTCGT